GTCAGCTGCTGCGCGCGCGCTCCCAGCGCTTCCAATTCACCGTGGTCCAGCACGGGGTGCCGCGCCTCGAACATGGAGCTCGCGGCAGCGGGGACAGCGCGCAGGTCCTCTGCAGCGATGGCGAGCGCCATGACGTGCCGCAGCGCCCATACGTGCGTCTTGGCGGCACGGCGGTCGGCGCTGAGCGCCTGGAGGAGTCCGGCGACGATACGAGCGTAGGCACTGTGGCCGCGGTTGTCGTGCGCCGGGGCGGGCTTGAGCTTTCGGATGGCGGATGCAGGCGGGAGGTGTGGGTGCAGGACTGCGAGGCTGGCGGCGGCCGGATCGGCGGAGAGGGCGTCGAGCATCGCATCCAGCTCCGCCTGTGCGGGGAACACCTCCGCAACTACGTCGACCGGACCGAGGGTGCCCTCCGCGAGCGCATCCAGGATGGCCTCTGGGCTGCGAAATAGTACGCGTCAGCACACACACCAAGGAAAGCAAACCAAGAAAGCACACACCTCACGCAAACATCCGTACTACAAATCATCAGCCCCAGCCTCCGCTTCACCTCCCGCACCACCTCCTCCTTCTCACCGTCCGCGTCGTTCCGCTCCTCCTGCCACTGCAGCCAGATATTCCTTGCCACCCCAACCACCTCCTCCCCCTTCTCCCCCTCCCTCTCCTCCGCCGGGACCGCATAGGGCACGAGATACCCAAACACCCACACCGCAGGCATTAGCGCCCTCGCATCCTCCCTCCTCAGCGCGTCCGGCCGGCCCCCAAGCACACTCGCAAGCAGCTGCAGGTCGTCCTCGAATGCCGCGAGTGGTATTGAGGCCACGAGGGCGGACTCGACGCGGGCTGCAAAGGACGCGACGACGCGCGCGAGGGCCGCGTGGCACGCGGCAGGGGCGAGGAACAGCTCGCCGCGCTGCAGCACCTCGGCGAGCAGCGGCGGGGGCACGGGCGCGGGCGCGGGCCCGGCGAAAAGCGCGTCGAGCGGTCCGTCGGCGCTATTCGAATCGACGGCAGTCAGCCCCCCCACGGCGGCCCGCGCATCCCCGCCAACGAGCACCCGCAGCGCATCTGCCGCCGCCTCCGGGTGGCGCGCCACTTCCTGCAGCAGCGTGCGGAAGAGCGCCTGTCGCTGGGCGGTGCGGTGCGCGAGGTACGACAGCAGCAGCGCGGGGGCGGTGCGCAGGAGCGCATAGGCGCGTGCGGCGAGGAGGGCGTCGAGCGACTGCACCAAAAGATAAGAAAAAAAAAAACATGAGCAGTGCCTCTAAAAACGCAGGGAAACCAACCCATACCTCGCCGACCTCCCCACCCCACACCCCCTCCCCGCCGCCAAACGCGGCCAGCGCGCGCACGAGCAGCGCCGCATCCGCCCTCCGCACTGCGCCCCGCAGCACCTCCGTCCGCAGCGCGAGCCCCGCGGCGCGGATGCGCGCGCCGACGAGGGCGGGCGGGAGCTTTGCCGTCGGCGGTTCGGGGTCGCCTTCCGTTTCTGGCTCTGATTCGGGCGGTGCAGCCTCATCCTCAACGCCAACGAGCGCCTCCAACACCGCGCATACGAGCGCGGGCGGGCCGCCGGCGCGGAGACATGCGCCGAGGGTGGTTAGGCCGGCGGCGAGGAGGTCTGTAGGAAGATGGAGTTAGTCCCTGCCAAAATAAAGGAGGAGAGTGATTATCGGGGTAGAAGGCGGACCACAAAGGGTAGGCGACGCGAGGAAGTACAAGGAAGCAGAAAAAAATGACAATGTCTCGCAAAAAAAAAGCAAGTAAAGCCAAAAACCAAATAAACAAAAACCGACTCACCACCCCCCACACCCCCCGCCGCCCCCAGCGCCCCGCGCACCAGCCCCGCCGCCCGCCGCGCGTCGACGTGCAGGAGCGGCTTTGCCTCCTTTGCCTCCTTTGCCTCCTTTGCCTCCCCTGCGTCTTTCTTCGCATTCGTCTCCCCTTCGTCGTCTTCCACTTCATCCACGCCATCGGAGTGCGGCAGCGGCACCTCCCCACCCAGCGCACCCCACACCCTTGCCACCTCCTGCGCGAACAGCCGCGCGCCCGCCTCGCCCTCGCCCTCTCGCTCCCCTATTCCCTCCAATTCACCCGCGTCTCCCGCTCGTTCCTCCACACGTGCCCCGGAGCGAAGAGCGCGTCCCCTCCGCACGACAAACACCGCACACTCCAGCACGGCGCCCACGAACGCCGCACACGCGCGCGCGCGCGCGGCGGGGAGGGCGGTCGTCAGCGCGGGGGCGGGGGTCGGCTTCCGCGCGTGTTGCGTGAATTCCAGAGCTTCTGCCTCGTTTCCGTCGGCTCCGCCGTAGTGCGCCTCGGAGGAGATTCGCGCGTCGGGTGCAGAAAAAAGGGTGGAAGGCGCCCCGCCCACCGCGCCCCAGAACGCGTCAAACAGCGTGTGCAGCGGGGCCAGGATCTATGAATCGCGTGTACGCGAAAGGTTGTTGTCAGCACGCGCGTCTTTTGTTGTTGTGTATACGCATAAAAAAAGAAAGCGCGAAGAAAAAGAAAAGAATTCCGTCTTCGTCTTCAGGTATGTAAAACGCAGTCAAGCAAACAGACGAACGAACGCCCGAACACAAGAAAAAGGAAAATCACAAAATCGCAAAAACGCAAAAACGCACCTCCCACGGGACAGCCGCAACCAGCACCACCACCGCGCCGTACACGCTCTCCGGGCTGCTGTTCGCGCCACCGCCCGCGGGCGCACACGCACGCGCGAGGAAGGCGCGGAAGGACGCGTAGGCGCCGTGCGGTGGGGCGGGCGGGGCGAGGCGCCAGGCGGAGGGGTTCGCTGGGAGGGGGGAGTCAGTTTTGTTTGTTTCGTTGAGGAGAGAGTGAGAGAGGAAAGAGGGAGAGGAAAGGAAGGGAAAAGGAAGGCAGAGCGGGGCGCACTCACCCCGTAAAAACACACACAGCGCGCCCCACAGCGCGCCGCGCACCTGCGCGTCCGGCTCGGCCCACGCGGCGGGCAGCACGGCGCGCGCGAGGGGCAGGAGGAGCGCGGGCGGGAGGCCGCTCGGGGGTGGGGTGCTCGGCTTGTTGTCGGCGTTCGCTTGCGTCGAGGTGGTAGCGGTAATAGTGGCAGTCGTGGTAGAATCGGAGAAAGCGCGCGCCAACAAGACCGGCACGAGCGCCCACGCCGCGCGCCGCAGCGCGGGCTGGCCGCGGCCCAGGGGGAGGGTGTCGTTCTCGTCCGCGTCCGCATCTTCTTCCCCACCTCTCCCCTCGTTCCTATCGATGGAGGCAGGGGCGTGGAGAGGCAAGGCGGAAGCGAGCGAGGCGCGTAGGTACGCGGTGTACATGTCCTCCCCTTCCCCATCCTCGTCGTCGGCGCCCCAAGAGGGCAGCACGGCGAGCTGCGTCTCCGGCGGGGCGAACGCATCGTCGTCGTCGTCGTCTGCGCCATTCAAGGAAGAGTACGAGTGCTGTCGGAGCGCGGACCACAACACCGGCGAGGCAAGAAAGGGCGGGAGGGGCGAGGAAGGGGTTGTTTCTGGGGCGAGTAAATCAGTATAGATAATTATTGGCGCGCGACACAAAAGAAAGAATAAGTACGTACCAAGCACCCACTTGAGCGCGCCCAAGGCCGCGATCCTGATCCTCGCGCGCCGATCACCGGCACTCTCGTCCCCCTCCTCGCCCTTTCCTCTCTGTGACTGTTGTGGTTGCTGCACGACCCCCGTCGGCCGCGGCTTCACCGCACGCTCGTTGGGGAGGTGCACGGGCATGACGGGTTGCGGATTGAGCTGCGCGTAGAGCACGTCGGGGGTGAGCAGCGCGGATTCGAGGAACGCGAGCAGTTCGGGGTCGGAGCACGGCACCCGCGCAGCCGCCGCCACACCCGCCACCCCGCGGTCCACATCGTGCGCCGCCAGCACCCACGCACACCGTGCCAGACTCGGGGCGTCGTCAATCAGGGATGGGCGCAGGAGCGGACGCGCGAGGAGCGCGGCGTGGATCTGCGCAGTCAGCAAGCGCACTCTGCGCGCGGGGTGCACGAGATGCGCCGGGAGGTGGTGCAGCCACACCGGGGCAATCGCAAGCAGCGTGTAGTCGCCTTCCTCCTCTTCATTTGATGTATTATTCACCCACCCCGCGCCCAGCTCCTCCAACGCCCGCACCTTTGTCACCAGCGCCTTCTTCCCCAGACTCCGCAACACCACAACCAGCTCCGGCGCCACCCGCCCCGCCAGCCCATGCGCCTCGATCGGGTCCGGCGCCGCCGTCGGCTTTGTTGGCGCGATGTATGATTTTTGGCGCGGCGGGTCCGAGCGGTGTTTCTTCTTGTCCTTCTTGTCGCCCTTTTCTTGCTTATTGGGAGGGGAGGCGTCGGGCCCGGCGGCTTTGCGGGCGTGTTTCTTGCGCGTCCCCGACGAGGCGGAGGATGATTTCGGCGGCATGGGGGCAAGAGGGAAAGAGTCAGTGATGCGCCGCTTCCGCCCGGGCCGAGGATCCCGCTCGCTTAGCAGTATTTAGCGGTCGACCAGGATTTTGAGTCGTCGACCTGATAGCACAATGGTTAGTGCACCTGCTGAATTTGAGAACACAACGAGGATCAAATACGCAGGAGACCTCGGTTCGAATCCGGGTCAGGTCATAGCGAGTAGCTTCAAGTCAAGTTTTGCCTTCATTTTTTCTCTTTTTTCAGGTGTCACCATTCATGATTCACCATTTCATCCAGCTTGTGGCTTGCTGAAGCATCGACCTGATAGCACAATTAAACGGTTAGCACATCTACTGAATTTAAATCCCTAGCTGGGTTAAACACTCCTCCGAGTCAGGTCATGCAGGATTGGCACGTTCATGCTTTTTGGCTTCATCAATTTGATTCCCTCGAACGAATTTCGAAACTGCAACCGTAATGCCTGCTGTTTTACTTAGCTTGCGCCATTCTTCGCATGTGAGTGCAACTGGAATATTTCTTTGATGTTCAGCCGTGGTTATCTTTTTAGGACTCACAAAGGATCTCTCCCGGGCCAACAAAGACCAATGACCTGATGGCACAACGGTGGTGCGTCTGCTTAATGTACGGTCCGTCCTAGTTTGTCGATATGCAGAAGTTCCCGGTTCGAATCCGGGTCAGGTCATCACTGAGGTCTTCCCACCTTTCTTTTGTTCCTTTGACACTTTCCCCCAGGATGGCTCCCATCCTCCATTTCAACTCTCGCTGGTATTTCCTCAGCCAGTTGGCCACATATATACATAAATCAATAGTCGGAAGCCTGTAAATGTTCTGCTGTTCCCCCTTGTTCCCCTTAGCTTGCACCATTCTTCGCCAGTGAGTGCAACTAGAAGCAGAAGCTCTGTTTGATGTTCAGCTGTAGTTTTTTTTGGGACCCCACACAGAATCTCTCCAGTGAAGGAAATGACCTGATGGCACAATGGTTAGTGTGTCTGCTCAACGTAGGGCTTGAATGCGGTTCTATATGCAGAAGGTCCCGGTTCGAATCCGGGTCAGGTTATCATTCCCCTCACACTACCTTTTTTTTGTTCCTTTTTGACACTCACTGCATTCAAGGACCTCCTAGGCTCAGCCTGAGTTCAGGGGCCTACATGGACCTACATAGACCTACACTGAGACCCACCTACATACATTCTGCGTAGGTGGATGTAGGTCTATGTAGGTCCGCATAGGTCGGTCAAGGTCAGCTAAGGTGAATGCAGGTGAATGTAGGTCGACGTAGTAACCTATGCAAGGTGAATGTAGGTGAATGTAGGTCGATATAGTGACCTATGCTGAGAGTAGTATCCTAGCAGTATATCCAATTACAACTGTACTGTACTATTTTGGTTGAGGTCAATGAACGTGGGCGTAGGTGAGCTGTAGCACCTACGCCGACCTACGTTGATCTACATATACCCAGTTCAGATCAGTTAGGTACACCTACGCAGAGCTACGTGCGCCTTTATTGATCTCTGTCAAGGTGGACGTAGGTGATCTACACTGACCTATTGTAGCCGACTACGCTGACCTACGCTGACCTACGTGCACCTTTATTGACTCAGCGTAGGTCCCCCTTGAATGCAGTGACTTTCCCCACGGATGGCTTCCATCCTCCATTCCGCCTCTCGCTGGTATTTCCTCGATAAGTTCAATAGTCGGAAGCCCTGCTATTTTACCTGGCTTGCGCCATTCTCGCAAGTGAGTTTAACTGAAATATTTCTTTGATGTTCAGCCGTATTTATTTTTTTGGGACTCATACAGAATCTCTCCAATGAAGAGGAAAGACCTGATGGCACAATGGTTAGTGTCTCTGCTCCATGTAATCAAAGAATTCCGCGGTATGCAGAAGACCCCGGTCCGAATCCGGGTCAGGTCATCGCCCGCATCTGTCTACCTTTCTTTTGTTCCTTTTTGACACTTTCCCCTCGGATGACTCCCATCCTCCATTCCGACTGTCGCTGGTATTTCCTCGACCAGTCGGCCACATATATACATAACTTCAATAGTGGGAAGCCTTTAAATGCTCTGCTGTTGTATTTAGCTTGCACCATTCTTCGCAAGTTCAACTGAAATATTTCTTTGATGTTCAGCCGTAGTTATTTTTTTGGGACTCATACAGAATCTCCCCAATGAAGGGGAATGACCTGGTGGCACAACGGTTAGTGTGTCTGCTCAATGTGGTCTAAAAATCTTGCCGTATGCAGAAGGTCCCGGTTCGAATCCGGGTCAGGTCATGTGTGAATTATTCGAGACCTTTCTTTGTTCCTTTTTGACACTTCCCCAGGATGGCTCCCATCCTCCATTCCGACTGTCGCTGGTATTTCCTCGATAAGTTCGATACTCGGAAGCCAAAGCCCTGGTATTTAACTTAGCTTAAGCTTGCGCCATTCTTCGCAGGTGAGTGCAATTGGAAGCAGAAACTCTGAATATTTCTTTCATGTTCAGCGTGGTTACTTTATTGGGACTCACACAGTATTTTCAATGAAGGGAATATGACCTGATGGCACAATGGTAAGTGTGTCTGTTCAATGTTCCCCGCATGTTCTCTCGTATGCAGAAGATCCCGGTTCGAATCCGGGTCAGGTCATAACGTGTGATGATGACTGTTTAAACCTTTTTTCCCCCGTTTTTGACACTTTCCCCAAGGATGGCTCCCATCCTCCATTCCGACTGCCGCTCGTATTTCCTCCGCCAGTCAGCCACATATATACATAAGTTCAATAGTCAGAAGCCCTGCTATTTCACTCAGCCATCCTTCGCAAGTGAGTGCAACTGGAAGCAGAAGCTCTTTGATGTTCAGCCGTGGTTACTTTATTGGGACTCGTACAGAATCTCTCCAATAAAGGGAAATGACCTGATGGCACCATGGTTAGTGCGTCTGCTCAACGTGTGGCATTAGGCTGTGTATGCAGAACATCCCGGTTCGAATCCGGGTCAGGCCATTGCTCGAATTCCTTCACCTTTTTGACACTTTCCCAAGGATGGCTCCCATCCTCCATCCATTCCCGCTGTCGCTCGTATTTCCTCGGCCAGTCGGCCACATATACACATAAGTTCAATAGTCGGAAGCCCTGCTATTATATTTAGCTTGCGCAAATGAGTTCAACTGGAAGCAGAAGCTCTTTGATGTTCAGCATGTTTATTTCTTTGAACCTCCACACAGAATCTCTCCAATGAAGGGGAGTGACCTGATGGCACAATGATTAGTGTGTCTGTTCAATTTGGAGGAGCAACGTGCTTATATGCAGAAGATCCCGGTTCGAATCCGGGTCAGGTCATCGCTCAAACTCCTCTAATTTTTTTTTCATTCCTTTTTGACATTTTCCCCATGGATGACTCCCATCTTCCATTCCTTCTGTCGCCGGTATTTCCTCGGCCAGTCGGCCACATAAATTCAATAGTTGGAAGCACAGGTGCAATTCTTAGAGTTCGTTTCTATTATTCTTCTCGCCGTAACCATGCATCTCATTCTTCAAGTTCATCACACAACAGCTGCAGTCTGTAAATGATTGTCCGCTTCACTCAACTCGGGTTATTCTTCGCAAGTTCAATTGGAAGTATTGCATGACACTCTGAAATATCTGTGTTCGATGTTCAAAACCCTGGTTAGCTGTTGTTCATAGACAGATTATCTAACACACACATGTTCACGGACACATTGAGCTACTGACCTGATAGCACAACGGTTAGTGCATCTGCTGGATTTACTCGCTCATAACCTCAATAAGCAGAACATCCCGGTTCGAATCCGGGTCAGGCCATCGCTCGAATTCCTTCACCTTTTTGACACTTTCCCCAAGGATGGCTCATCAGCAAACCCTGGGTGAACTATGTAGCGCTAGGTAGTTTGCATAGTTGCCATAGTTGCCATAGTTGCCATAGCAAGGGTACCATGTACATCATAGTTTGGCCAGTTCTACGTAGTTGGGGCCCAACTATGTAGCACTACATAGTTCGGCCCTAGTTTGCCCTAGTTTCGCCCTAGTTTGCCCTAGTTTCACCCTAGTTCCCTGTAGTTCGACCATAGTTGAACCATAGTTAAGTCACCCTATCACGCACACCAATCACGCAATGTTCAAATGTGTATATATTGCGAATGAAACTACATATAACATATAACATTATCTATAATACGTACCAGGGTGCCGATGGATGGCAAAGGAAGCAAATGACAGTAAGTAGCGGGGGGCTTGAGACTCAGACGACTCGAATCGGTGCAGGTTTGAACAAAAGGTTGCGTGGTAGGATGGTTTGCAAGTTGCCTCTTGTGCTCGGGAGTTGCTTGACGAACGGGACTTGATTGGATTTGGATGGGAGATGCGGAATTGTGGGGACTTGAATATGCTTCATAAGTCTTGATTGACCAGATGAAGTTTCGAGCGCAAGAAGACTTGAAATATTGAATGAAGGATTTCGAGATTGAGACCGAGTACTTGATGGAGAAGCAGATTGAGTTGGGACTTGCGGATGGTTTGAGGACTTGACTTGTTACAGGTGGTTTCAGACTTGAGAGTTGCAGATGGTCCGAGGACTTGAAGGGTCGGCAGCAGCTGCTACGTCCTGCGGACTTGTCGCGCGCGTGTTGTGACACATTGGACTAGCGCTGGCATCTCCGCAACAGCAGCTTGGACATGCGTGGGTGCGTATCACGTCGGGAGGTACCGGATGTCAGAGTTGAGGCTGCCGCAGTGGGCGTGAGGCGGCGGTGGGGGACGGTGTTGAACAGCGAGGTGGGGGTTAGGGTAGAGAAAGTAGACACAGGGACCACGGACACGTGAGGGCAGCGGTGAACAAGTGTTGAGAAAGTGCAACGAGCTCTATTACCAGCGTACACACCTTTTCCCATTTTTTTCTACAACGCTGACCCCGTTTCTTTCTAGATGTGAAGGCGTTGCGCGCAACTGAGTGGGAAGGTAGATGAGCGTGCGCAGATAGAAATAAAAGGAGTAATACTCATGTCACCGGCGTGTTGCGGTGCACGTTGGAGCTGCCAAACTCGATGGGGAGCGTCGTGGGTGGCGTCGGCGCGATAAACGCGATGCTGGTGGAATTCCGCAGTCGATAGGTGTAAGGGAGCGCTAGGGTTTGAGCTTGAGCGTGCAATGGTGTTGTGAGTGGTGCGCAAGGTGCACCGGTGAGACTTGAGAACGACGGCGGCGGCGAGTTGGTGGAAGGGGCGATGGCTCGGTTTGATCACATGACTGATGTGATTTCAATCGCGCTGGAGTCTGATCTACGGACTCGACGCCTGCTGAAGGTGCAATGCGCACCACAACCATCCGGCCCATTCTCGAGCCCGGACTGACCCGCGTCGAGATCCCCTACTTTAACGAGGGGCGCGCCAGCCAGCATGTAGGCCGAAGTCCACAAAACAAAATGTGTATGTGTATGCGATGCATCATAAAATTGTAAGTAAGTAGGTATGCAGAGCATGAAAAAATAGGTCGTAAATATGCAGCGGCGGTCTACTCTCTCCGTATTATATGGTCGGTCCATGGGATCGTGTTTTTTGCTCGAATGCCTTCCCCGCCTTCCAACGCGCGCCCCTCCTCCAGGCAGCGGAGTTGAGAGCGCTCATTTGAGCTTGAGGCAAGAGCAACAGCACACTCGAACAACGTTCAACGCCCTCAACATCTGCCCGCTTCCCTCCGGACCCACTCCACCGGCCCCACGCGCTCGTCGACGTTCGGGTCCCCTGGGAAGAGGAGGTTGTTCTCGAAGGAGAAGATCTGCAGAGAAAAGGGTCGTTAGTGTTGATGCCAGACTACTAGAGTGGGAAGGCAGGGAAAGAGAGGTAGAGTGAGGATTCGTTACCAGGGCACCACGCACTAATGGTAGGCACATCCGCCTGCTTCCGGTGCTGCAGCACCGCGATGTACAAGCTCTACCCTAAAACGAAAAAAGTATTATTAGTCCACATTGAAAAGAGAGAAAACCGTGTGCGCACTCACCAAATACAAACTAACCTCCAACGGCAAATTATGGCTCCCCTCGCCGCTGCCCGCACTCAGCTTCGCGCGGACGCGGGCAGCCTTCTTGCCCTTGACCTCACAGCCGTGCTTGGTGAGGCAGCGCACGAGGAGGGAGAAGGGGAAGAGGTCGAAGAGGTGGTATTTCGGCGGGAGGGAGTCCGGGAGGAGGAAGGCTTCGTCGGTGCGCGCGAGGATGATCTGTGCGTGTGGGAGGAGTTTTGTCAGTACGTAATCTTGGTATAAGGTAGAGGTAAAAAGTCGAAGAGGGGAAGTAGGACACACCTTTTGTGGCTCGCCGGGATGTGGGGACCGAATCAAGCGCATAGACTTGCTGCTCTGCAGATCAGAGCTGACCTTGTGTGCACTGAGCATGGGCGGCGAAAGTGTCCGGTTCTTCTCATCCGTCGGCGAGTTGAGGCGCGTGGGCGGCAAGATCATCAGCGAGGACGGGGTTGACCTCCCCCCATCCCTGGCATCCTTCTCCTTCTCCGCGCGCTCAGGGATGCCCGGAATCTTCACAACGAAACTCGTCCACCTATCCCTCCCCTCTTTCGATGGCGAGGAGGCGGTGACGGGCAGGGGGAGGTGTGGCGCGGACATGGACGAGGGCGGGGAGTGCTGGTAAAAGAACGAGCCAGGCTGGTTGGGGAGCAAGGGGCGGAAGCCGTGCGAGGCATCAGAGAAGCTCAGCGAGCGCCCCGTACCAGCGCCGTCCGCCCCGTTCGCGCCGTTGGTGAGGTCCGCGTTGGAGGGGATGCCCGTGGGGAGTGCTGCATTGCAGATCTGAAAGAAAGAAAGGATTCAATCAATTGAATCAAGTGCGCACGACGCACCTCAAGACTCATGACTTGCGAAGCAGAGTTTGCGTCGCTGAGTCTGTGTGTGTACCATCGCGTTGATGCATGCACGACTCAAATTCGGCCCCGCGCCACACGCCAAGTCCGTGGTGTCAGGCCGCTGCTCGTTCTCCATGTCGAGGTGGTGGGAGGAAGACAAAGTTGCGGGGGCTGTGCCAACTTCCCGATTGGTTGCTTCTTCTCGACCACAACAACCACCAACGCGACTTGTTGACTCTGCTCTCTGGGAAAGTAATTTACTAACGCGTTCCAGAGTCACAGAAAGTGCAAGATGTCTTGCACTTTTAGGCGCCCAGCTATCCTACTCAATACCTTTCCTCTCCCCTGCCGCCCTCGCACTATCTCATTAGCATTGCATGTGGAATAATAATTCTGATTTTCTGGATTAAATATGATAGTAGTTCGCCAGTATAGACTGAGATGTGCCCAATTCAACAGGTAAAAGGGCCCAAACTATGTAGTTCTATGTAGTTCGGGCCCAACTATGTAGTTCTATGTAGTTCAGCCCAAACTACCCAGAACTACATAGTTTGGGCGCAAACTATGGCAACTAGGGCAAAAATCAGGTTTTGCTGATGCCTCCCATCCTCCATTCCGACTGTCGCTCGTATTTCCTCGGCCAGTCAGCCACATATATACACAAGTTCAATAGTCGGAAGCCCTGCTATTTTACTTAGCTTGCGCCATCCTTCGCAAGTGAGTTCAACCGGAAGCAGAAGCTCTTTGATGTTCAGCCGTAGTTATTCTTTTGGGGCTCACAAGAGATCTCTTCCAGTGAAGGCAAATGACCTGATGGCACAACGGTTAGTGTGTCTGCTCACTATGAACATTGAAGAAATATTGCATATGCAGAAGATCCCGATTCGAATCCGGGTCAGGTCGTGAGTGACTGTTTCACACCTTTTTTTGGTTCCTTTTTGACACTTCCCACGGATGGCTCCCATCCTCCATTCCGACTGCCGCTCGTATTTCCTCGGCCAGTCGGCCACATATATACATATGTTCAGCCGTGGTTATTCTTTTGGGACTCACAAAGGATCTTTCCAATGAAGGGAATGACCTGATGGTACAACAGTTAGTGCGTCTGTTGAATATCGCGTTGTATTTTCGTTTATGCAGAAGCTCCCGGTTCGAATCCGGGTCAGGTCATGAGTGAAGTATTCCAGACCTTTTTTTGGTTCCTTTTTGACACTTTCCCCACGGATGACTCCCATCCTCCATTCCGGCTGCCGCTCGTATTCCCTCGGCCAGTCGGCCACATATGTTCAGCCGTGGTTATTTCTTTGGGGCTCACAATGGATCTCTGCAGTGAAGGGAAATGACCTGATGGCACAACGATTAGTGTGTCTGCTCAATATGTACTTTGAAGACATCTTGCATATGCAGAAGATCCCGGTTCGAATCCGGGTCAGGTCATGAGTGAATATTCCACACCTTTTTTTTGTTTCTTTTTGACACTTCCCCACGGATGGCTCTCATCCTCCATTCCGACTGCCGGCGGCCGCTGGTATTTTCTCGGCCAGTCGGCCACATATATACACAAGTTCAATAGTTGAAAGCACAGATGCAATTCTGAGAGCTCTCTTTGACATCTGAGTCCCCCGACCAATTCTTTTGGCTCTGAGTCACATAGACCCGGTATCTAACACATGTGTTCAATGCAAGGATATGCAGAAGACCCCGGTTCAGGTCATCAGCCACCAATTTCCTTTCACTTCTTTTTTCCAACCCCAAGGATGCCTCTCATCCTCCATTCAACTGTGGGTGGCCATATTCAATCAAACATATGAGTCTGGCCCGGGGTTCTTCCCTCAAGGTCATCCCGAGCTATTTTTCGAGGGCTCACACAGGGAATCTCTAATACATGTATTCAATTGAGGGAGTGGAGGGAATGACTTGATAGCACAAGAGTTAGCACATCTGTAGGATTTCGAGTTGGCATTTCAATGTTGTGTTAAGCAGAGGATCCCTGTTCGAATCAGGGTCAGGTCATGCACATATGCCCAACCTCTTCATTTTCCTTTACAACTTGAAAAGAACCAAACTGAAGCAGTGAACGGTGCACATGGTCCGGACTCGGAGTCACCATGGCTACTTATTGGATATGTGAGAGGTGCAAACAAAAGAAAAAATGCACCGACTAATGAGGTGGATCACAGATAAGAAAAAGGATATCACTTACAATTCTATTTTTTCGGTACTTTGAGCCTACCCTTCCCCCCTACGTAAGATGATGCCATCAAACTACCTTTAGAGACATATATCCGAGGTAGGGAGAAAGACACAAAAATTGAACTGGTATAATTTGGCAGTGTAGAAGCTGAAGTGGCAGTGGTTTGACAGTAAAATATTAGCAGGCCATCTGAAAAGAAGCTTTAACTGGGCTCGTACTTGACATTTACATGGTTGAGTTGAAGGCTGCCAGGCTGGGCCCACCAGTCACCCAACCTTGCAAATTTGATAAGTGTGAGACAGGTAATATTGTAGTTGTGTTCATGTTATATCCGAGCAATGGATATAGGGCTGACCAGCCAGTCAGACAGAGTTCTGAGATTACTGGAGTGCCGGAGTGTTGTAGACGGGGCAGAGTGACAGAGTTGGAGGAGTGATGACCGGAGGATCAGATGACGCTACACCACTAGGGAGCAGGGTGAACATTACTACCCTTGGCCTCGGAGTACGGGAGCGAGGGGAGTTCCAGAGCAATAACTCAGATTACTTGCAAGGAGTGCAAAGCAACATTAATAATAAGTCTGAAGTACAGTGTTGTAGTCTAAGTGATTAAATACTAAAGGGTCTTATTGTAATAGGGAAAGGAGATATGAAGGGTTCAATGTGGAAGTAACAATAAGGTTATATCTGAAGGGGTTGGAAGAGGACAGGTGACTAGAAGGAAGTAGTTTGGACAATAAGTAAGAAGTCCTGAACGAGGCGGACAATTGGGATGTCACTTTATGGCGCGATACGGACTTCTGAAGGAAGTCCGACGTGCTCTGTCGTTCCGTCCCGCTCAGACCTAAGTCTGAGGTGTCGGGACATGGATATAACAGTTCGTAAGCATGGTCTGAGGTCTCTTGTGGTCCTAAAACTTGCCAGCAGGCCTTCTTCGGGGTCAAAAAACTGCACACAATTTTATTTTCCAGCAGGTCCTTCACCCCTCCCCCCTCTACCCCATATGGTAATTGCTTATGCTTGACCCCTCTTGATGTGGGGTGTACAGGAGTAGAAAGTGGGTGAAAGTTCCCGAGAAAGTCATAGAACTTTAGAAGCATGAAAGGGGGAAGTGCTGTGCGGGCGTGGAGTACGAGTGAGGTGCAGCAGAATGGCTCAGAGAAGGAGATATAGTGGGGCTGGGTTCACTGGCAATGTGCTCATGGTGGAGCACTCCAGTCACTGGCCACGGCATAGATGGTCAGGTGTAAGATGACCATGTGTACATATAACACAAATACACAGTCCGCAAAACTGGTCTACCATAAAGTACGCACGGAGATATAAAATAGGGGGGAGGTGACCTGTGGTCCATCCTACCCTTTCACATCAGGCAGAAGGTTGAAGAGGCACAATGCCAAATTTTGATGGCCTAGTACACGGGAAAGGCTGAGATAGTGATTTGAATGGAATGGGGACTATAATCCTTAAGTGACAGTTCAATCAACAAAGAGCTTCCAAGACACTTTCTCTCCCAAAGTTTGTGGATAGAGCTGCTGGAAGGGTTGAATGGTTGTGGGACCGAATTGAAACTCCGACGATTATATCATAACATGGCCACCTATATCCGGTGGCGTGGTTCGAACAAAGTGACGGTTTGTGCTCAGAGGACCAAAAATGTCGCCAACAATTGCACGTGCCGGTGCAGCAAAACATACCCACTTGTGTGAGTCATTTTTGCTGACGACGATGACAGTGCCTTCCGAATCGGAGTTCAACTCGAGCCTTGCTCGATGGAAAACAGAGGGAGCAACAACAAATTGAGACCAGCCCACCTCTATCTTCCTCCTGCCTTGTTTGGTGATTTTTTCAGCCCAAACTTTGATCAAATATCATAATCTGCGAGGAATGACTTCAGGGTCGAGGATAATGCATTTTTGTACATCACACAAAGCCCGCCAGATGTTTGAGAGAACCCAGAGAAAGGAACTCTCGGGTGCTCTCGGTTTCTTAGTCTTCTGGAATATTGCAAGTTGGACGTGCTCAAATATCATCCATTTTTTATATCATAATTCCACTGGTGTCTTTTCAGTCTTACCCTAGAAACAAACCCTGTTTGTGCCCGCCGATTGCCGGCCACTTACAATCATTAAAAGTGGATTAGGTGCCCATCACATGACACCTTGCCAAAAGAAAGTTGTGGATATTTTGCATAGACACTCAGGAATTCATCTAACACTGAGGGCAAGAACTGATGCCCTCAAAATCTGAGTTTAACACACTTAGTAGGTATCCAGTAACAAAGTCCACAAAGGCAGACATTGTGTGGGGGCTAAGTAACAATTCCTGCTTTTATTTGCTCAAGGGACCTTTGCACGCCTTGTTACTGGGTGTGTAGTAAGTGTTTTAAATGCACTTACGTTTCAAGTGCATCAGAAATTGCCTGCAGTGTAAGGTGCCATTGTGCAATTAAATAAATAGAATTTATTTCCAACCAAACCATAGAAACAGGGCAAAATATAGATACATATTTTCCTGATGAATTGATATCAACACCAGAGAATTCACAAGAAATCTAAATCACAACTGGCTCTAACCACTTCTATCCAAGTCCTCCTGCCGGTCTTCAATATCAGATAGACTATCTTCGACTTCCTCCACAATGACAGATACATTCAGCTGTTCCAGACGAGCTAAGTTCTCTCTATGTTGTTCCACTACATCTTTGCCCACACTTGCTACCCTGTGTTCAATATGCTCAACCTGTTTGGCTTGTGATGACCTTTCAAAGAGTGGTCTCGCTGCCTCCCAAAGTTCCACAGCCTTCAGCAGGTCGCCATGTCCCTTGGAAATATCTCCGAGTCGGAGCATGCATTCTGCTCTACTGCAATGAACATCCATTTTTGTAAATCCCTCCAAGGCAACTCTGTAAAGGTTAACAGCTGTCCTTTCATCTTTTTTAGCCACAAAGATATCCCCCAGGAACAAAAGAGCTTTATGCATTCCTAGCCTCTCTTTGAACTTGAGGGAATGTACTAAGAACACTGTTGCCCAGCCATATGATGACATTGATTGGAGTGCCCCCCAGCGACTCACATCACCAAGCCGCTCCAAACAGTAGGACTTTACTGATGGGTGTTCCAATAATAGACATTTTTTTAAAACAGTCTTTGCTGTGAGAAGGTCTCCTTCTCTCAGGCTGAGCTCTGCAAGAACAATATCACACATTGCTATGTTCTTGTCCATGACCACTTTTCGGCTCTGAAATAATTTTCTAGCTCTCTCAATATTCTTCCGAACATCATCCTGTGGAGTACCAATAGACAACTGGCTTTCTGCAAGATTCATTAAAGCAAAGGCATAATTATATGTATCCTGCACTGGGGTCATCTGCAGAATGTGAATCTGGATATTGTGGGTCTCATTGTATTCTGATTTCAATGAGTGGATCACTCCCTGCAGTGTCATGGAGCCATTGGGGTTCATCCCACAAAGAACCAGGAGTTCCCTGGCCCAGGTGCACAGTGAGAGACTTTGTTTGTAGTTCCCAAGTTGCATCCAGCACATTGCTTCAATTTCTAGTGCACATGCTTCTCTGTATAAATTTCCGGACATTCTGGCCAGCCTCTGGGACTCATATGCATGTTGTTGGCTAACAGAGTAGTTACCAAGCTGCCAATAGGTGTGTGCATGGGTATTCAATGCATCCGAATGTCTTATGGTGTTCCTAGTTGAAATTGCCACTGATATAGCAAGTTGAGAATACTTGATGCCAGAGGAAAAATCATGGTGCTGTTCCACATAATAGCCTGCAACACTGTTGTAGAATCTGCCTTTATGATTATGTCAGCTTCAATGAGTAAGGATTAAACAAAGAGCCTACATTCCAGATCAGGGTAATCACACTTCCCAAAGTGTTTTAAAGCTTGGGCCACCAATGATTCTGGGTCGGAAATTAAATAATGGCGCCAGGATCCAAACAACTCAGTAATGAAGTA